TACATGAGGGGGGGGGGGGGGGGGGGGCGGGGGGGGGTGGGGGGGGGGGGGGGGGGGGGGGGGGGGGGGGGGGGGGGGGGGGGGGGGGGGGTGGGGGGGGGGGGGGGGGGGGGGGGGGGGGGGGGGGGGGCCGGGGGGGGGGGGGTGGGGGGGGGGGGGGGGGGGGGGGGGGGGGGGGGGGGGGGGGGGGGGGGGGGGGGGGGGGGGGGGGGGGGGGGGGGGGGGGGGGGGGGGGGGGGGGGGGCGGGGGGGGGGGGGGGGGGGGGGGGGGGGGGGGGGGGGGGGGGGGGGGGGGGGGGGGGGGGGGGGGGGGGGGGGGGGGGGGGGGGGGGGGGGGGGGGGGGGGGGGGGGGGGGGGGGGGGGGGGGGGGGGGGGGGGGGGGGGGGGGGGGGGGGGGGGGGGGGGGGGGGGGGGGGGGGGGGGGGGGGGGGGGGGGGGGGGGGGGGGGGGGGGGGGGGGGTGGGGGGGGGGGGGGGGGGGGGGGGGGGGGGGGGGGGGGGGGGGGGGGGGGGGGGGGGGGGGGGGGGGGGGGGGGGGGGGGGGGGGGGGGGGGGGGGGGGGGGGGGGGGGGGGGGGGGGGGGGGGGGGGGGGGGGGGGGGGGGGGGGGGGGGGGGGGGGGGGGGGGGGGGGGGGGGGGGGGGGGGGGGGGGGGGGGGGGGGGGGGGGGGGGGGGGGGGGGGGGGGGGGGGGGGGGGGGGGGGGGGGGGGGGGGGGGGGGGGGGGGGGGGGGGGGGGGGGGGGGGGGGGGGGGGGGGGGGGGGGGGGGGGGGGGGGGGGGGGGGGGGGGGGGGGGGGGGGGGGGGGGGGGGGCGGGGGGGGGGGGGGGGGGGGGGGGGGGGGGGGGGGGGGGGGGGGGGGGGGGGGGGGGGGGGGGGGGGGGGGGGGGGGGGGGGGGGGGGGGGGGGGGGGGGGGGGGGGGGGGGGGGGGGGGGGGGGGGGGGGGGGGGGGGGGGGGGGGGGGGGGGGGGGGGGGGGGGGGGGGGGGGGGGGGGGGGGGGGGGGGGGGGGGGGGGGGGGGGGGGGGGGGGGGGGGGGGGGGGGGGGGGGGGGGGGGGGGGGGGGGGGGGGGGGGGGGGGGGGGGGGGGGGGGGGGGGGGGGGGGGGGGGGGGGGGGGGGGGGGGGGGGGGGGGGGGGGGGGGGGGGGGGGGGGGGGGGGGGGGGGGGGGGGGGGGGGGGGGGCGGGGGGGGGGGGGGGGGGGGGGGGGGGGGGGGGGGGGGGGGGGGGGGGGGGGGGGGGGGGGGGGGGGGGGGGTGGGGGGGGGGGGGGGGGGGGGGGGGGGGGGGGGGGGGGGGGGGGGGGGGGGGGGGGGGGGGGGGGGGGGGGGGGGGGGGGGGGGGGGGGGGGGGGGGGGGGGGGGGGGGGGGGGGGGTGGGGGGGGGGGGTGGGGGGGGGGGGGGGGGGGGGGGGGGGGGGGGGGGGGGGGGGGGGGGGGGGGGGGGGGGGGGGGGGGGGGGGGGGGGGGGGGGGGCGGGGGGGGGGGGTGGGGGGGGGGGGGGGGGGGGGGGGGGGGGGGGGGGGGGGGGGGGGGGGGGGGGGGGGGGGGGGGGGGGGGGGGGGGGGGGGGGGGGGGGGGGGGGGGGGGGGGGGGGGGGGGGGGGGGGGGGGGGGGGGGGGGGGGGGGGGGGGGGGGGGGGGGGGGGGGGGGGGGGGGGGGGGGGGGGGGGGGGGGGGGGGGGGGGGGGGGGGGGGGGGGGGGGGGGGGGGGGAGGGGGGGGGGGGGGGGGGCGGGGGGGGGGGGTGGTGGGGGGGGGGGGGGGGGGGGGGGGGGGGGGGGGGGGGGGGGGGGGGGGGGGGGGGGGGGGGGGGGGGGGGGGGTAGTCGCGGTCGTGGTAGTCAGTCGCTCCATGGGCTCACAGATTCAGCCTCCCCAATTGCCGTTCTGTTCCTTATTAAGCAAAAAGAATGACCTGTTACAAAGTTGCATTACAGAGCTGAAAGCCCCTAGAGCAGCTTTTGCACAACCATATTTCTTACTTTGAAAACAAGATATGTGACAGAAAGCAGCCAGGAAGACCTGATTATCCCGTTGCTTTTGTTTGCAGAAGTAAACGACCTGAATGGTACAGACCTCCCTTCAAGCCAGTCCCCCATGTCCTTGTGCCACTCTGTTAATCTCTTTGTGAGAGTTGCATGGTCCAGC